TCACCTCGCAGCGCGCAGCGCCAAAAGAGCCAGCGTATGACGTCATCGCGTACTTGTAGCCGCTCCGGCCCCGTGACGTCATCGCGCCGAGGGAGCCGTCCGGTAGGCCAGAGTAGCCGAGTCGGCCGAGCGCGTCGATCGGGGTGGGCGCCGCCATGTCGCTGCTGCTGCCGCGGGGTCGGTGCGGGGCTGCCGCCGCCCGGGGGCTGCTGGTGCCGCGGGACCGGGCCCGGGTGAGTGGCGCCGTGTGCCCCGGGGGCTGCGGGCAGCAGGACGGGCGGGGGGTTGCAGTACGGCACACACGGCAGGAGGAGACCCTGCGGTGCTGTGCCGAGCCGGTCTGTCGTGGTGGCGCGGGACAGTGCGGGATGGCCGCGGGCAGAGCCCGGGAAGGACCGTCCCAGCCCCGCACGGACGGACGCATCCCCACGGCACCCCGGGCCCGCTCCCACGGGACTGCGCCCGGCAGCTACCGGGAACCGTGGCAACGCTACTTCCTGCGGCCTCGAAACACCGGAGTAACCCTCGCAGTCTCGTTACACAGAATCTGTTAGGTTGGAAAGACCCCTGAGATCATCCAGTCCAACCTGTGACCGAACAACACCTGGTCAAACAGACCCTGGCACTGAGCACCACAGCCAGTCTTTCCTTAAGACCCTAATCACCCTTTCTGGGAAGAAATTCTTCCTGATGTCCAAACGAAGCCTCCCCCGGTGTAGCTTAAGACCACGTTCTCTCATCCTGTCGCTGGTTGCCTGGGGAAGAAGTCCATACCCACCTAGCTACAGCCTTCTGTCAGGCAATTGTAGAGACCAGTCAGTTCCTCCCTGAGCCTCCTTTTCTCCAGGCTGAACACCCCCAGCTCTCTCAGCTTCTCCTCACAACCCCTGTGCTGCAGACCCTTCCCCAGTTCCTTTGCCCTTATCTGGACATGCTCCAGCCCCTCAACATCTTTCTTGTAGTGAGGGCCCCCGAACTGCACACAGGATTTGAGGTGTGGCCTCACCAATGCTGAGGACGGGGGAATTTTATGTTACTCTCTATAACTTAGTGTGGTGTTATGATAGATAAGTCTGTTTCATGTGGCTTAAAAAAAAAGAGAATTATACATGTAACTTAAAAATCACTGGGAGAATGCTTACACAAAACATGCATTAACCAGCAAAAGGGCAAATTGTTGTTTAACACCAGCATGTTTGTTACTAAATAAATTACAATTTTGCTTGTTTTAGGTTTCAGGGAGCCATGTGTGTAACCAGTATGGAACATCAGGTTCTTTGCCAGGGGAAAAAAAAGAGTTCCTGCAAAATGGACCAGACTTACAAGACTTTGTCACTGGAGATTTGTCCGACAAGAACACATGGGCTGAGTATAAAGGCAATTTAAAGCGTGAGAAAGGAGAAAGGTAACAATGATTTTAAGAAACTTTAGTTGCTTCCCAGCACGATCTTGCACATTTAATAATAACTACAAAATATATCCTATGTATCCTTATTAAATTCCTCCCTACCGCATTGCAAATTTAATGATTATTCAAGAAAGTACAAGTGTCATTAACTTCAAAACCATAACAAAATGTGGAGATGTGATGGTATTTTCTTGAGTGCCAGTAATTTAATTACAAATATACATCAGTAAGTGAATGTGTTGAACAAATACTCCTGGTAGAGAAAACAAAAAATGAAGACTGAAGTTTAAAAAATATTTAAACCCCCATATTTCCAGTCATAGATTGATCAGACTTTCTGATAGCTGTGCAATATCCACTGTCATTAATTGTTGCACTCTTCAGTGTGGCACTGTTCAGTCCTTCTGGAACAGTGAACAGTTTTAAATTTTTCAGTGGCAACAATTCCTGTGCTTGAGTGTTGGCTTGATGATGAACAGGGAAGACATGGTCTGGCCATGAATGATGCTAACATTAATTGCTAAGTGGCACCAGTTTTCAAGGGACCTTTCCTTGTTGGGATCTGTAGCAAATTAAAACAAATCTATTAATGAAATTTACCATGTAAGTAGTTTATTAATCTTTATGTTTGCTTGGTGTTATTCAGGCTGCATCTTCCTCCATGGCTGAAAACAAAGATTCCCATGGGAAAGAACTACAATAAACTAAAGAATACCTTGAGAAGTTTAAATCTTCATACGGTAAGTCTGGCACCAACCAAGTGTTCCTGTAGAAATACAGCAAATTTTACATTTTTCTCTGTGGAGGACAGGTGGAAACCATGTCTTGCGTGATCTTCTGTGCTGAAACCAAGCTCAGTGCTGATCCTTTTTGCTAGTAATGAATTTTACCCTTAAAAAATATGGGTAAATCTGACAGATTTAGTGTTTTTTCTACTGTGATTTTAAGTACTGAGATCTACTACTTACATCACCAGAGATTAGAAGATGCTATGTGCAACTGTTTTTAATGGAAACACACACAATTTCAGAGTTACATACTTGATTTTCATGAAAAGAAACTGTACAGATTTCATTAATTATACTTTCCAGATAGTAAAAAATGGTAGGAATGCACAGAGGGGATTTTTTTCTTTTTTTTTTTCCGACTGAGTTCATTGTCTAATGAATCACATACTTTGTGAACATTTTATCAGTCCTTAAATTTAAAATATTAATGATAGTGTGCACTAATTAATCAGACAGTTATGTGGCTGAGCAGTTTTTGCAGTTTTGAAGTAGAGAAAATAATGGTTATGGGTATTGGGAAGCAGTTCTCTTCCTATCTGTTCTACTGACTTGTTAAAAACAGCAGGGAACTGTTAACTTCATTTATCACAGAAGGCTACTATTAAAAGTAGGCTACTATTAAAATCCATCAATAATAATAATAATTTTCAAAAATAATATGGAAAAATCCAGGTACAGTACAGCCTTTCACCTTCAGGTATGTGAAGAAGCACGTTGTCCCAACATTGGAGAATGCTGGGGAGGTGGGGAATATGCCACAGCGACAGCTACTATTATGGTGAGTCATTAACCATTTCTTAAATGTTCTATTAATGTCTGATCTGTTTGTACTCTATTGTTGGATCTCTGCTGTATTGGAGTGGGTATATTACAATAAATTTAGAGTAAAGCACTGTCCTAGTATATTTTTTTTTTGCTTACTGTTAGGATTTATTCCCTGTAGCTTATCCCCTGTAGCTATTTCCCAGCTGAGCAACAGTGATATGTACTGTGTAAAGGTAGGAATGTCTTTCATGTTCCAGCTGATGGGTGACACGTGCACCAGAGGCTGCAGATTTTGTTCAGTAAAGACTGCAAAAAACCCCGCTCCACTGGATCCACAGGAGCCTTACAACACAGCCAAGGCTATCGCGGAGTGGGGCTTGGACTACGTGGTGCTGACTTCAGTGGACAGAGACGGTGCGTACCCTGGCTGTCCTCACGCCACTCTGAGCTCTCACAGCGGTTCCGTGGCTACACACAGGCCCCAGAAACATTTATCTGCACAGCTGCCCAGGAGAAAATGTTCAGACAACCGTGCTGAAACTTTGCACAGTTCCTACATATTCTTAGTATTTCTCCATGGCTGGTGAAATACAACAGAAATTACGCTTTTAGTAAACATCAATAAATACTACAACACTAAATATTTTATAACTAATTTTTAGCAGAATGCATTCATATACGTACACCATGTTCTGTTACTTGGATAGCAAAAAGACAGACATTTATATACAATGCCATTACAGAACTTCCTTCCAAACACTAAACCTAGAATATATTACATGTAGCAAAACTGAAAGTTGTGTTTTCCTAATGAAGTAGGAAGTAGCTCCCTTGCAGGAGCTCCCTTGTGGTGATACCATATTGGTGAAGAAAGCCATTGTAAAAACTGTTCAGTATGATGGAAAGTCCAATAGCTTCAAAGGGGCTTAAGAGAGCACTAATATATATTTCTCAATTTTTGTACGACTGTTTTTCAGACCAGAACTATAAATAGGTAAAGCCATTCTGTGCTCAGGGAGACAGGGAACCTAGAGACAGGTAAATCTGAACTCTGCCCTGGGCAATCACAGTTAGACTTTGTGCAGAGGCTTTGTAGGATATCTTCTGTAAGCCCTTGGCATAAGAAGTGAGTTAAGACTGGGGTTTGCTGCTTTATTATTTTGCATTTAAGGTTTGATTCTGATGGTTTTTTTGTCCTTTGGTAATAAATACATTTCTTGAACAGAAAGGTTAACTGAAAAATTGAAATGCTTCTAGATCTACCTGATGGTGGAGCAGAACACTTCGCAAAGACAGTCTTGCATCTGAAAGAAAGGTGTGTCATTGATGTATTAACTGTTATTGTTAAAATTTTAGAATGTGATACTGCCTGTGGTTCAAAGCACCTTTAGCTTTGTTATTGTTGTTATTTTTTGTTAGCTCCTTTAGCTGGGTTGTTCCAGGAGCCATGCAAATACAAAAGCCTGCCTCTAGCCTGTCTGTGCCCCCTTTTTTTCCCTTTCTTCATCTTTCTCATAGAATGCCCCCAAACTGTTTTGAATTAGGATGCATTTCCAGTTCATCCCAAGCTTATTTAAAGCTAAGCACTGGATTCTTTCTTAGCACAGACAGCTGGTTTACCAGGAAATGAATACATTCTTCTGGGGTATGTTCATTCCTGAAGCATGGGGCTCAAACACAGCAGAGTTAGGTAACACTGTCACCATGTGACCAAAGGAGTCTGGTTTCTCATTCAGAATTGATGAAATTGCTTTTCATTTTGCCATTTCCAAGTCTGTGATTGTACCTTCCTGCTTTCCCTGGCGGTGCTGCCTTCACCCTATATTGGTGCTCTATATTTGTGCGATTTGACAGCACACTTGTTTGCCTGCAGAATTAATTTGTATAACCTCATTTAAGTCTTTATCCAGTGTATCTTGGGGCTTGAAGGGTTTCTGCAATTTTCCCCACATGCCTTTTTGAGCTGAAATTGGCTCCTGGACATCAAGACCAGACTCAGAGTCTTCTTACTCCACTAGCAGAATATAGCTCCTCTGTATTTTGGAGCTATCATCTTAGAAAAAACAAATTCCTGGTTTTACTCATATGAGCTGAAATACATCAAAAGAGAAATAATAAATATAAAATCAATTCCAACAGTCTCTCAAACATTCACATGCACTGTTTGTATTTTTTAACATGTCTTTGTTACAGGTTAATGTAATACAAGTTTGTTAGAAAGTGTTTGCCGAAACCTGTTGGTTTAGAATTATTCTGAATTAACTGCTTTGCTTATTAGAATGTCATGACTTCAGTTACAGGAGTTTTGGGGTATTTTTGCTGTCCTGAGTTTTTTAGCAACACTGACAAAATGACACAGGTCTCTTTTGTCTCTCGTTTTCAGGAATCCAAAAATCCTGGTGGAATGCCTAACTCCCGATTTCCGAGGGGACCTTAAAGCAGTGGAGAAAGTCGCCTTGTCGGGGCTGGATGTGTATGCCCACAACGTAGAAACGGTGCCGGCACTGCAGAGGTGAGCAATAGCTGGCTTCGGGTGTACGGGATGAGGGAGCGGGACCGGGCTGTGGGCCGGGTGCGGAGCAGAGAGGGGCCGGG